AAAAAGGGAATTGCCCATGAAAAAGAAATAATATATATATATACACACACACACACACACACAAAATAACTTACCTAGTCACAGTCTCACAGAAGTCTGAAGATTGGCTACAAGTGGAAGACGATAAACCGATGATGAAGAAATGATCCGATGCAGACAGTGAAATATGAACATTTGCGGTGTAGTCCACAAGTCCAATTGAAGAATTTCCTCCAACGGATAATGGAGATGAGATGCCAGGGAAAAGGTAAGGTGCCTGATCTGATGAGAAGACACCTGGAACAAATTACAGGAAGAAGAAGACAAGAAAGAACAAGCAAATTGAATCAAAAGGCAAACCCAATTGATCAGGGTAGTAGATGACAGCATACAAACAGAGGATATCTGCTAAGGAATAGGCAAGACAGAAGGAAGGCATGAGGGAAATATAACAACAAAGAGCACATACAGGACATAGTAGCCTTATCTGAATCTGACTGAGGATACAGGATGGAAACGGAAGGAAGGGAAATCAGTAAGGAGGATTTACCCTCATGAGCCACTGAAGTTTTGGTAAGGAGAGATCGATATCGATCTGGATAAAGAAGAATATATGTGGAATGATATACAGTACGTGAAACTTTGAAGGTAAATAAATCTGACAGATGACATCAACAGGACAATAGGAGAAGGAAATAAGTCTTAAAGGATAAATGAAAAACCAATCACAAGGACAGAGGTTCAAATGAAGGCAAAGCAAAGCAGTGAAGAACCATGCTGAGGTGAACATTGAATCTGGAAGGAACACCACAATAGAGAAAGAGTAGGAGAGGTAAAAACTTTATGGTACCTGGAAAAATGAAAAGTGTTGGATAAGGCAGCTTGATAACCCGCAATCAAGGAGACAAAAGATCCTTGATCAAAAATCCGAGAAAATCCATAAGATGAGAAACAGTGGATTGTGCAGTAGATGAGTGTGATGGGTGGACTCCTGTTGAGAATGAGCTAACAGAAGCCAGTCATCCTTCTAATGAGAAAAAGCCAACCTGAGTGTGAGAAAAGACTCCATGGTAAATTGGGGTAGAACCAAAAATTGATCGAAGCAGGATAAATCAATCATAGGACACCAGTTGCTGGTTTTCTAGGGTACCACAAACAGGTTGGAATAAAACCTGGAGAAGGATGAGTAACAGGTTCAATGTCATTCTTAGAAAGAAGATCTTGTACTGCCTCGGACAGATGTTGACTGGTGGTAGGATCCTAATGCAATGGAAAGGATATGGGTACCCAAGACAACGGAGGAAGGTAAAGGAAATGAATGGCAAGTCCCTTGGATAATACCAAATCTATGGTGAAAAGTTGCCAAAGGGGAACAAAATCAGTCAAGCGAGCCCCCCACTGGACCGGAACCAACCAACTATCGGCGACGTTTCCTCTATGTCCAACAATATGATGAGAGGAGGAACCCCTGTAGGTAGGAACAGGTATGGGCTCAGAAAGAGTGGGATTGGAAAAAGTAATAGGGGGCTCATCTAGGCTCTGAATGAAATAAATGATCCACCAAATAAGAAAGGGTCATTTACTGTCTCACTGATTCCACATTGGATTCTAAAGTCTCAGGAACATTACCAACAACATACCACTGTAGAAAAGGAGCCATACGTAAGTCCTGGAGATAAGTTGGTGGTAAAAGAATCTGGGACAAAACAGCATCCCTCCCCAGGAGATCCAAAAAACAGAAAAACTACATGTGTAAAGAAAGAGCCAAAGAAGACAAACGTGCTAACATGGAGGTAATCAGGGAAAGGCTATCCCTCCAAAAATCCTCAGGATCTTGGTGGATTACCTCAGAAAGGAGGTGGATGATAGACAAGTACTGTAGGAGAGTCGGTAGAGTAAGACGAAGGCAGGGAAAACTGGGTGGGGTATAAACTAATGGGATGATCAGGGTCCACCCCCACACAGCCAAAATTGATTCCAACTGTTGAGAATTGAGAAGCGGACAATCAGCCAGATGGTAGTCCAGAACAAACTGATCCGAAGCCTGTAGAGAGTGAGGTATGCTAGCACCATCAACCATCTGAGAAACAAAATGTTCTGCATGAACTCTAAGATCCTGGGAAAGGGGAAAAACATATACTGAGATGAGGGGATACTATATAAGAAAGAAGGAAGGGGATAAAACAGAACATACCTGAGAAACATGTCTAAAAAGCCATATTAGGCCTAACTGATTCCACAACAGGGGCACAGGTAGACACAGTAAAATCAGGTCAAAGAAAAAAACTGTCCAAATCCTCGTTGACCTGAACAGGATTGGCATGTTCAGGAGAAATATGTGCAACATCAGGAGAAGCAGATTGACTCATATAATGATCAATCTCATGATCAATGAGAGCTGATAAGTCTACAGACGAGTTCCCCCATCTCTAACCTGTGTGATTGTGCTAGTAGAAGATATAACCCCTGAAGTGATAACCTGTACTTCAGAATTCATTGTGTAATAATGAATAACCAAACACAACCGTTTGATTAAAATAAATTGAAAACTGGAAAAATCAGTTATCAGAAAATTTGTTAAATTTTGAAAAAAGAAAACCCAAATCCATTCAGAATTAATATAAAAAAATGCCCTAAGTTGAACAACAACAACAAAAAACACAATTGAAGAGCACAACAAAAAATGAAACATACTGACACAAGTACTGCGAAACGAGAAGTGATAGTTAGGTAGAATTGAATAGAGGCAGTTCACATGTGTCAGGAGAGTGTGTTGCATTCTTATTGATGGAGGGTTCTTGCATGATGATTTAGATGAGACGCTATTGAACTATTTGATTGCAACATATGTGGGAGCTCAAAGCTTGTGGCATGCAAAATTATGTTTACATATAGAGGGCAGCACTGAATGAGAATAGCTATTTATGTAAGTGGAAATAATGTAGCTAATCACAAGTGCCATTTCCTCAAAACAAAACTTTATTAAACTTAAATGCACAAGATGTTAAGTAAAAATTAGTGCAAACACACCAGAAAAAGCATAGAAAACCACAATAAGATATGTTGAAGTCACAGCACTAAAACTTGCTCCTTCGTATCTACTCTATGGTAATTTCAGACAGCACTGATATCCCCTAACAGTTACAGTGAAAAAAAAAAGATAACTTTGTAGCTTTACACACTACAGGTGACCATGAAGCTATCTTTACCACAGAAAGACAAAAAGTGCTACTCTAGGTGAATGACACAGAATAATATGAAGCTAAAGAAAAAGTAACTAAACCTTATCAACTGATGTAATATGCAGTAGCTGCACACACCTGTATAAATAACAACTTTTGAAAAATTCCTATGTTAATACAAATAGATAGGAAACACATGGTATGCTTATATATCTCAACCATATAAAACAATTACAACCCAAATAGATGAAGAGAGGTATGTCAGTAGAGGGGAAACCTAACCAAAGTAAAAATCAAAGATAAATAAAACAAAGAATACCAATTATACATTTTAACACAGCAGGAATTACTAACACAAATAAATATTTTTCTAACTTCCACATGATTTAATATCGACATACTTTCTGTGTTGGTTTCAAAGATTAACAAAATGAAGACTTACAGTGTTAAGCCCAAGAGTTCTCAATGTTAATTTTAAGTTATCATAATTTCTACCAACTGGTATCCGTGTTTTCAGCCAAGGAGGTAGTTTCAACCTGAAACAACAAAGATGATAATTAGTTTTGTTTTCAAACATCGTAAAATTTGAAGAAATACCCCAAAAGTTAGTTTTTAAAAATTTTTAATCAACATAAAATAGCAAGTGATCAATTTGTATAGAAATTGTTGAGAAAATTAATGAAAATTTCCATTTTTGAATTGTAATTGTAAAAAAAGTTAACATTTTCTAACACTGAAAATGTATTTCTAATAGGTACTTACCTACTCTCACCTAAAACTATCTCAACCCTCTAAGCATTGCTAAAATTTTGAACAGTGCACCAGTCTTTTATACCCCTTCATTTTTTGACTACTTTCCACCAATCATACTGCATCACATACACTCTACCATTGCAGCACAATCCTCACTTTTGAGAATTGGCATATACAAACCCAAAACACTGCAAATGAGTGGAGAGGAAATACATGTTCAGCATTAGAAAATGTTAACTTCCAAAACAGAATCCAAAGCTAGAATCCCACATTGCAAAGGTGGAGGGGCCGGTGAAAGCACAAAACAACCAAACAAGTGGATAACAACCACTATGTAAGAACAGTTGTGTCAACAATTAAATTAGAAGGCACAATGGTGAGGTACAGCATTATTTCTGGAACAGGTATCCTCTTTGTCCAGTAAAGAAAAAAGGAAGACACATAGGGTGGAACCGATTAGAATACGTGGCTAGGGCTAAAGGACTGTAAATGTATATGAATAGCCCAAGTCCACCCGAGCAGAAAACATCGAAGGGAAGCACCTTGGGATATGACGGTTTATGCCAAGTGCAGTCCAAAAGCAAAAACATGGAAGTGCCTTGAATAAGTTTATAATATCAACAAGTGCACTCTTCTTGGGCAAAAAACATCCAGGGGAAGTGCCTTGCATAAGAGTGATCATAGTATATTGTGACTGTAACAAAATGAGAGATCAACAAGTGCAGTCTGCCCAAGCAAAAAATATCTTTGGTAAGCACCTTGTGATAAGTGGTAGTATGACAAGTGTGGTCTATCCAAGCAGAAAATATGCAGCGAAAGTGCCTTGCATAAAATTGTGGGTTTCATATCGTGTATGAAAGGTATTGAGAGATCAAAAAGTGCAGTTCGTCTCGAAAAAAAAACAATCAAGGGGAGGCGCCTTGTGTTAGTACTGAGTATGGCAAGTGTGGTTCATCCAGGCAGAAAACATCTAGTGGAAGCACCTTGCATAAAAAAGATAAAACAGGGTGAAGAAGTGGGGTCAGTCCAGTCAAAAACATCTGGGAGAAGCTCCTTGTGGTTATTGAGTATAGCAAGTGCAGTCTATCCAGGCATAAAACATCCAGTGGAAGCTCCTTGCATTAATAGTGTGTCATGATGAACAGGTGCAGTCAACCCAGGCTAAAAACATCCAGAAGAATCATCTTCGATTGAGAACATTATGATAGTGCATAATATGAAGAATAAAGATGACAGCCCTCTTCTCACAGAGTGGGTGCATATGACTAGGAAATTTTGATTACTGTACAAATCCCCCTCATGAAGAAACCTCCATGGTCCACCACTCCAGAGACTGGAAACTTGGTGGTAAGGACCCCCATGCTCCACTTGAAAAAAAGGGGGGGAGTATACATTGGGGGGGTCCACAGGAACAACACACCAGAGACAGTGCAATGGGCATCTGCATTTCCCTATTTTCAAAAGCAGAAAGATTAATAGTAAGAATCACAGTTCAGTAGGGATGGGCAAAAATTCCCATCTGCTTTATTCATGAAGTCCATGAGTGATGGTCCACAGTATATATATATATATATATATATATATAT